TCAGAACCCTTTCTTCTAGCTGATTGAATATTTAGTAATAAAATACTCAATAAATTTGTATTTCTTCTAAAAAAGAACCGCTAACTGGTTGAGAAGTAATAGGTGAATTTTCGGGTTAACAATTAATCTGTACTAACAATAAATTTACAATTCACACACACATCTCCCAAGGCTCCAATTACAATGTTACATCAATTAGGTATTTCAGCATAACATCAAAACACAAGTTTCACTATTTTAATATTTCACCAAATAAATCATATTTATTGAATATGCATGTATATGTCTTACACACCCTTGCAAACATGTTTTTCCTTGCTATTGCTTTTATATGGCAAGGTAGCATATTATTCCAGAGGTGTTGTATAATCTCCTGAAGACCACTAGAAAACAATATGTAAAATTAAATAAAGTTAGGAGCACCTTTGAGCCTACTGAGTGTGGTGTACCACAGGCTTCAGTTATTGGACCACTGCTCTACTCCTTGCACGTTCTGCAGGTCTAAATACACAATACTTTTGCTGATGATACTGTATTGGTGTATTGTGGTGATAATAGCCGAGTCCTTCAGAAGCATATTAATTCTGATTTGTTAAAATATTCAGACTGGTTATTATGGAACAAGCTTAAAATCAATGTCTTAAAAACAAAAAACATTATATTTAAACAAAAAAATAGAATAGTTGAAAAACCTATTCTTAAAATAAATAATATAACCCTAGAAAGAGTTGCTTTTGTAAAATACTTAGGTTTGATTTTAGATCAAAATCTTAACTGGAAAGAATATATCTCACACAAGAAGTGTCTCATGGTCGGAAATAAGTAAATAATTTCCAAAAATGTTGAGAAATTACAGAAATTTCCTGTTAATTGTCACAAATTATGTTAATTCTCAGAAATTATAGGAAATGTTTAGAAATTTTGAGGATTGTCGGGAACTGTTAGGAAATTATTTGAAATATTGGGAAATTTTTCGAAATTATAGAAAATTACCTGAAATTATTATAAGAAATTAGGAAATTTTCACCAGAAATCTTTGAGAATTTTTGTGTTTCAAATATTGTTTAGTTCCTGTTCAGTGTTGTGAATAAAAATACCTAACCGCTAACAAAATAAAGAAAGCTAAGGAAGTAGGTAGGTAGGTACCTATGTATAAAACACATCTCATAAACTATAGAAGCCAAGCTTCATGTTATTTTCCACTGGAAAAAATATAAATTTTTTGGAAAATGAGCTTCTAACAGTTCTAACCTTCCTCATTAAATGCAAATTTTTCTCTGTATGTACTAGTTTTCCAGAAAAACTGTGAGACTTTATTCTCAATTAATTCAGTTATTGTTAGTCGATTTTCAATATTTTGCATGTTGTTATTTTCCACTGGAAAAATTTGAAATTTTGGGAAAATGAGCTCCTAACTTTCCTCTACATGTAAAAAGTTTCAAATTTTTCCCTTTATCCGTCTTCCAGGAAAACTTTGAAATGTGTGAGACTGTATTTTTAATTAATTCAGTTTTTGTAAGCTGTTTTCCAAGATTCTTCATGTTCAATCAAACTCATGATTTACCTATACCTAGTGGTTGCACCTCAATCTTAAAATGACAAGGTGTGATTAGTAGCTATTAGGTAGGTACCTGATGGTACCTGGACTACCTCAAACAAAATATAAAGAAGATATCCATGGATGATTGGTGGCTAGAAACCAACCAGACAAAAGAAAAGACAATTATAGTTATTTATGTATCAAGGGAATTATGCAGGTGTTAATACCCCAGGGCAACGTTTGAGTCCCGAGGGCCTCCGGCCCGAGGGACACCAATTGCCCGTGGGTATTAACTCCTGATAATTCCCGTGGTACATAGATAATTTTATATCCTACTGAATTTACTGTATTCTGTCTATTTTTGTAAAGGAATAAGCCATAAATCAAAATTTCTATTTTTTGTCAAAGTGTTACCTATTCAAGGTAAAAGCGGGAGTTATGGAAATCCTTAACTCCCTTGGGAGTTATGATATCCTTAACTCCCTTCCTTAACTCCCTTGGGAGTTATGAAAATCCTTAACTCCCTTGGGAGTTAAGACCCTGTTTATGATTATCGTAACCAAGGTATTATATGGTTTTAATAGTTCAGTAGGATATAAAATAATTAATAATAATTTTGTAAAAAGTTAATAAAGCACGTACATTTTTTCTGAAGACTCCTTGTGCAATCAATCACGCATACTTATATGGTCCTTCGATGCTCGAACCTTACTTGATCATTTCAACGCAACACTTCATGTTGTTATTTTTCACTGGAAAATATTCTAAATTTTGGGAAAATGAACCTTTAACCTTCCTCTTTACATGCAAAGAGTTTCAAATTTTTCCCTTCACTAGTTTTCCAGGCGAACTTTGAATTGTGTGAGACTGTCTTTCAATTTGAATTCAGTTTTTGTAGGCTGATTTCCAAGATTCGTCATGTTGTAATTTTCCACTGGAATAATTTGATATTTTGAGAAGATGATGAGGAAAATTCTAACCTTCCTCTCCACATGCAAAAAGTTTGAAATTTTTACCTTCATTAGTTTTCCAAGAAATTTAGGTTGATTTCCAATATTCTTCATGTTGTTATTTTTATATTTTCCACTGGAATAATTTGAAGTTATGGGAAAATGAGCTCCTAACCTTCCTCTTCACATGCAAAAAGTTTCAACATTTTTCCTTAATTAGTTTTCCAGGAAAACTTCATGTGAAATTGTATTTTCAATTAATTCCATTTTTCTAAGTTGATTTTCAAGATTTTTCATGTTGTTATTTTCACCTGGAAATATTTGAAATTTTGGGAAAATGACCTCCTAACCTTCCTCTTCACATACAAAAAGTTTCAATCATTCCCTCAATTAGTTTTTCAAGAGAACTTTCAATTGTGTGAGACCTTGTGTGAGCCTCGACTTTCTAAGGGGCAAACCACCTAGGAATTTGCCAAAAATGTGGGAAAATGAGGTATAGGGAATTTGAAGAAATTTATGGGGAATTTGGGGAAATTTTCAGTGAATTTGGAGGAATTTAAAAGAAATTGTAGGGTCATAACGTCACTGAGGTTCACATTCTTATTATAAGAAACACTAATAATTGGAAATTTTTTAAAAAATCTAGTTTTTTGTTGGATGTTGGACATTCACTCGGACATTCATTTCTATCAAAGAAATTCTCCCAAAATTTCACTACATGATTTACAGGTTCAAATTTGAAAAAATACTCGGTTTAATATTCAAGGAAAAACCTTTTGGAATTGGATCCGCTTAGACTTGAATGGATTCGAATGCTACATTCAAGATACTGTTCATATTGGGGCCAAATTAGAAAATCGCCTACTGAGAAAAAAATTATTGCTTAATAGAGAATGGAGATTACATAATTTCAGTAGATCATTTTAATATGGGAATTGGAAAACACCAAGGAAAACATAATAAAAGTGAACATTTATTAGTTAGTTCTGATATTGTTCAAAGATGATATGATAAACATTTCCAGAAGAGGTACAAAATCTCCTTAAAAATGACTCTGAGTGCAAAGGAATTTCAAGCTACTTGAAGTTGATACAAGTTTTAGGTTTATATGTATTTGAATCCAAATATATTGTATCCTAGTATCATAATATATGGAAGAAAGGCTGAATGATCTCTCTCTTTTCCTCCTCCTCCGTTGTTGTTGTTGAGAGAGATCTCTCTCTTTTCCTCCTCCTCCGTTGTTGTTGTTGAGAGAGATGTTTATGATCCTGTAAACCTATTCAACTTTCAGGAAAAGGTCCATTTATAATAAAAAGAAATAATATACCCTCAATATTTTGAAACAATGTATATTGTTTAAAATATCAAATGCAGGTTTAGGTTAGTTTAAACCTCAGTTTAAACCTCGATTTAAACCCCTGCATTCTGGATTACCAAAACTAATGATTGGTTAATCATTAGTTTTAGCTCTAAGTAAACTAACCTAATTTTGCATTTGATCCTACTTGATAAACTGCTCTTGTGTTTTAACACTAAAGGCAGGTTTATTCACTTTCTGATAAACCGTCAGGTAATTCAATCTGACGGATGAAACGCAATTTGTATTCCCATTGGTTGGCCAGTTATTCCTTGACCAATAAGATTATGAAATGGGTAAACTTATCTTATAGATAGTTACCAGCAAGTTTATGTGAAGATGAATTAACCGAGTCTATGTTAAAGATTTAAAAAAAAAACTTATCACAAGCAATTATGAGGATTTTCAGGGAATTTGTGAGAGGCATTTGTGGGGAATTTGAGAGGAATTTGCAGGAATTTGTGGGAATTTGCAGGGAACTTATAGGAATTGTTTGCACAACATGCATGTGCAGTTCGCTGTTTGGCTAGCCAGATTATACATATTTCAGCAAAAAAATGTTCATTTCTACAGAGAAAATTACAGTAAATATTGTGGAGATGTTCGGAAATTTTGGAGAGAAATGAAAAATCTCTCAAAAATTTTGAAAATTATCAATTTTTGTCTCAGAAATGTCAGAATTTTCATAGGAAATCAGTAAATATTCGTGAAATTTAGGAAATTATTCAGGAAATTTCATAAATTATTCAGGAAATTTAAGAAATTATAGGAAATACTTGTAACCTATTTTTATGCTTGAGGTTTCTCACTAAATCGATTGAGGATATTAACAATGTTCACTATGTTTAGAAACTGGTTTTTTTGGTACTGTATTATCCAAGTAACTATTGTCATAGACATATGATCGGATCAAAATTTATTAAAACGATCATGCCAGGTAATTCCTTTAATAGCATTATACAGACCCAAAAAGTTACCATTTGTATAATCATACTTATAAAAAGGTAATATAGCTCAACATATCACTTATATAAAATCGAAAGTTAATAGGTCAAAAGACAAACATTATAGAAAAGTAAATTTAATTTCTACGTATTCCGTATTCGAGTTGAAAATGTTAAATGTATAGAATTATTCTATTTATTTTTTCTAGACTGCGCCCGAGGAATTTGTAAAAATCCATTTGCCCGAACAAAAACCATCAAGCATTGTCAAATACCTTCATGCTGCCAAACCAAATACAAGGAGATCATTCAAAAACCGGAAACTTATAGCAAGCACACCTCACATTAACAATAATGCCCTTTCTAATACCAATAGACGCACAAATGACTTTTCTAACGCGGGATCTTCAATTTCCAATATTTGCGAGGAGTCAGTAGCAAGGATTAATCTACCTCCTCCAACAGACAAACAAATAGAACTTGACGATTCAGATTCCGAAATTGACGAGCCCAAGTTTCGAAATGGAAAAAGGACAAATTGCGAACCGGCTCCGAATTGTTTTCCAAATAAAAAACGGGATCCAATTGATAGAATCGATACGTCGTCAAATATTATTTTTGTTGATAGTGATGAGGATTCTCAACTGTCACGAGCCAAAGCAAAAAGTAGAATTAAAAGGAAAACTAAAAAGCAGACAACTGTAAAAAAAACAAATATTTCAATGCTGAGCAATCAATCGCCCAGTCCAAGAAGAGCTGAACTACTAATACCTTCAGAAAATGTATTGTCACCTCCAAGAGATTTTGTGAATAAAACACCTAGGAGTACAGGGCGTGTTAATTTTACAAATTTAAGGGACGATTCTGACAAGGATGCTTGGGCTAAAAGTTTTGGACTCCTTCCGGTTTCACCACAAGGAACTGGTAAGTCAAATGCTAAAGATTAAAAAAAAATAATTGGTAATATTTCTCACTTAAGATTTGATTCCATCGCCGAGAAAAAAATATGACTTGAGATCTTCAGGGGTTGACACGGAAAAGGCCCAGACAAGTTCTCATAATGTTGGACAGCCAGTTGCAAGAAATTTATTCAATGATCTTCAAGCTGAAAAATCACCCATTGGTAAACAATAATCTTTTATTTTGTCAACTAAATTATTACATTCTATTTTCCAGACATCCAAACTAAAATACAAGAAGACAAAAATAATAAATCTTCATTGAAACAAGCTAAAGGAAATTCTAAACATCCACAAGAGGCTGCAATAGGTACACAAGGAAAAAATTAACTATTGAAATTTTTGATTTTAATAATCCTTTGTAGAATCAAAGAGTGACGATCGGCCAATTAGAAAAAAGAAAGGTCCAAAAGCAACCAAGAAATCAGTTCAAAGTGTTGGTTCTTCCCCTAAGTTAAAAATAATAGAAAACATAATATTAAAGGCAAAGGAAGACAATGTGAATAATTCACCCAAACAAAATTCAGGTATTTATTAGTGTATTAAGGTGAGTCAATTATATGTACCTATATTTTATTTAAGTTCACACAAATGACGAAATTGTACAGACACAGTCAAACAATGAAAGTGATGGTCTTCGTTTTAACCTCATTGAGGAAATTGAATCAAGAAAATTAAAATTGCTAATGCCAGCTGCACCACCACCACTAAAGGAAACAGGTAATTCAAATCCCAAAGTATTATTTCAATAAATTTTCTTCACAAATTTCATCAGATCCTATTAGTGTTGATGATTTTGGAAATAAAGACATGACCACTAAAGATCCAAATATGAATGCGGAACCGTCAACTTCAGGGATTCATTTGCAAATGAGTAAGGCCATTTTTGATCTATAGAAATTTTTGTTAATCTTATCCTATTCAGATACTCAAGAGACAAATCAAAAAAGAGGTGAAGTTAGAAAGTCACTTTGGAACTATATTTTCCATGAATTGGACTCATATGCTGACAGAGTCACTCAAAAAGGAGGTACTTGCAGCTTGAAATTTTTATAGACAAAAATGTTCACTGACTGATTAATTTTAGAACATGTGGCATCTGACTCAAGCAGTATCTCCAGAGAATCTGGGGAATTATTCAGCGAGATGACGTCAACAAGAAAATCCGCATCTAACAAACAGAAAATGCAAAATTTAAAAAATACCTTGAAGAAATTGCCCAGTGTCAAGAAAAATAGCAATCTTGTTGACCGACAAATTCAAACTGAAAGATTGTTTGCTCCAATTTTTAGACAATCAATAGTTTCAAGAAACAAAAAGTATGCATTACTTAACATAATATTATAATAAATCTAATTCTTAATTTTTCAGATCAAAATCCAGGATTTTCAACACTAGCGATAAATCACCAAACATTTATGACAGTTTAGAACAAGGAAACGCAATTGACGCTTTAGGATTTAGTAATTTTGACGAACCAACGCTTTCTTTCAAACATAAACCTTTCAGATTCGACACACCAAGTCGTTCTATAGGCCGTTTATCGTGGTCCAATTCTAATATTTACCCAAACTTTTCCGGCGACAGTGACGATTCATTTACAATGGAAAATAATCTATCCCCTAAACCCCACAATCCTGTCAAAAGTTATTGTAAAAATAAAACTGTTGCAAGTACAAATAGGAGAAAATCGAAATTAGTACAACCAAATCAGATATTTAGTAGCTCAGATTCGTCAGTTTCAAACACTGCAAATGCTTCTCCAAGACCAAGGACTAGATATGTGGCTCGTATTAATGACACAAATAAGAGGAATTCCAGCAAGAGTCCAACAATAGTTTTGACTCCAAATAAATCATCCAATCAGATACAGGAAACAACAGAATCTCAAGCAAATGCTTCTGAGAAAAGACATAATAAATCAGCACACTACGATATGATACTACATGACACAGCATTAAAAAGTCCACAACATAAAAGCTCTAACCCAAAGCATCCAACATTAGAGCCACCTCAATTTTCACGACAAGATGTTAGGATCATGTTAAATATAAAGAATCTCCCCAGCCCAAGGAATTTGAGCTTTGAAAAACAACAGGAGTTAGATGATGAAAATTCTAAGAGTAAGAGACAGCAAAATAAGTCTATCTCAAAACTAAATCCACTAGCGGAGCCTTTTCAATCTTTAATGGATAATGATGAAATTTCTAGAACTAAGCAAGATGATGTTAGTAACAAGTTGACTAATGAAGTTCTAAGTGTAAGAAAGCAAAAAGACCCAAAACAGGATTCAATTCTAGTTGGTGTTGGTAATAATTTAGCAAATAGTTTTATGGGTGAAGTTCTAGAAAGCTCTGGCAAACAAAAAAAACAAGCAACTTTTGAACAAGTTGCTGTTAGTGATTTGAGCAATAATGAAGTTCCAGGAAGTTCTGACAAAAGCAAGAAACAACTGCCTCAAAATTCAACTTTGGAACAAGTTAATGCTAGTAACGATTTAAGAAATGTTGCAGACAGTTCTGACAAAAGTAGGAAGCAGCAAAAAACCCCAAAACAACCACCTCAGACTTTAACTTTAGAGCAAATTAATGGGTCTGTGATTAGAAACGATGAAGTTTTTGAAAATTCTAGAACCCGTTCCAAAAGCAGGAAGCAGCGTACACGATCTAACTCAAAACATTATCAATCTGTTAATGAATCTATAAGAGACAATGAAGCTCCTGAAAATTCTAGAAACAGTTCCAGAACTAGGGAGCAACACACACAATCTAACTCAAGACATTATCAATCATTGCATGATAATGTCAATGCAATATCCAATGTAGATATCCATATTGATAATGAAGCTCCTGAAAATTCTGGAACCAGTTCCAAAATTAGGAAGCAGCGTTCACAATCTAACTCAAAACATTATCAATCGTTGCATGATAATGTTGATCCAATGTCCAATGAAGCTCCTGAAAATTCTGGAACCAGTTTAAGGCTGCAAAATAAAAGTAGCACCCAAAATTCAACCTTGAAGCCTCTCGGTGTCAGAAACAGATCTGATAGTTGTAGTACATCTAATCAAGAAACGCAGCCTTTGGAGGATGAAATTCAAAACAGTGTGCCAACAAAAAGTACTAGGGGTAGGAAGAAGAAAAATCAGGCTCCAAAGGATGAAACTGAAAACAATAATAATGCAACTAAAAAGCCTAAGATAGGTAAAAAGAAAAATGAACTATCACATATTAATGAGTCACCTATTTTGCCTGAGCAAGGTAAGGATTTTAGTTGAAATTTTTTGATTTATTTATAGTGTAAATTTTCAGATGGCCGCAGACAACTAAGAGTACGCAAACCACCAATTTACTGTCCAATAATTGACTTGGCCACTTCAATAAAATCATACGCTTGGGATCCGGCATTATTAAAAAAATTAAAAAAAAACAGTACGGCGGCCAAAATTGTTACATCGTTCACAGCTAGCCAACCACAAAAGGGCCGAGGATCAAGACTTACTAACCAAATGCCAACTGTACAAGAATCATCTAGAGTTGAACCACCTGGTAAGAAATATTTTCATTCAAAAACAAAACTTATAGCTTGTAATTTTTATTATAGTGGAGAGTGAAATACAATTGCCACAAGACGATCAACCAAATGTATCTGACAGCGTCCTAATGCCGCCGCCATCGACAAACTTTTTGAGGCCTCGCAACTGTGAGGATTCAGATTCTGGCTTTGCGTCCATTTCGGTAAAGAAAAAAGCTCCAGGAAAGACTGGCTTGGGAGGCAAAAGGTCTACTAGAAGAACGAAAACAATCAAAGAAGGTTAGAGATTGAATTTCACTATATATAAGTTTTTTTCAAGTCAATTTAAATGTGACGCATCATACCACTTGGAATTTTTTTTTTAGATTTTCCAATTTTTAACTACACCAATCAAAAGAGGGGGTTAAATTTAGTGGAAAAGCATTTTTGTGATTTTTCTTTTTGAGGTTTCAGGGCCTGTGAAAAATTAAAAATGATTTTTGTATTTTTTGCCCTGAGAAATTTTGATTATTCGACATTGCCTAACAAAATCGCTTATAACTCAATTATTATTTTATAAATTCAAATGCATATTGATATATTCTTGATCAGAATTAAATTCTCTTTGAGATAAAACAAAATTGTATCAATTATCTCGAATTGTTTTTGAGATAATGAGCCTTAAAGTTGAAATTTTGGCTCAAATTTTGGAAAATCTTCAACGCCGATTATTTCAAAAATGAAGCCCTAGAGCTCGGTATCCCAAATAACAATAGGCTCGTTCAGTGAAATTTTTTAACACGGTTTTTCACATTTTTATGGAGTATTACTCACATATAACAGTTATAGCACATAAAAAAAAATCAGCTTAATTGGATAAATATTAAAAAAGTTACGCGTTTTTAATTGGACATAAAGCTTCCGTATTTTTTGCTCGGTATCCGTATCGGTATCGTACTGCGCATGTGCAGAAGCGATACGGAGGCCGAGATACCATACGTACAACGTAACGTTACGGCCCTCTCGCGGTATCCGTATCGGTAACGTATCAAGACATTCCTGACGCATGTGTCAAATTTCAAATGAATATAACCTCATTTTTCTTCCGGGTTGATTTAATTTGTTTAGTTTATACTTACTTCAGTTTCTTGTGTGTTTAGTGCTTCTCTATCGCAAAAAAAATAACAATTTTAAGGTTAGATATAAAAACGCCGGAGTTTTGAGACAAAAATTTCTAGATTATGAGATGCGTTTACGTTTACCGGAACAGGGAGCGCTTTAACAGCCTTTTCGCTTGTCAACGTATCTAGTTGCGTTACGGATACCGATACCGATACCGGCGAATTATTTCAAGTAGTCCCTTAAAACAGTTACGCCTCGGAAATTCATTGCTGTGACATCATAGTATCTCTCGAGTCGAAACAGGCTAAAGGCCGTCACACACGGTTTTGTATAACGCAATATCAACTGATTTTTTTCTGACAGTTTGGCACACACACACACAAACTAAATTTAAGTACTCGTAGCCTGATGCCAACAGTTGAGTAGTTGGGGAAACAATGGCTACGTTCACCAGAACCAAAACGGATTGTAAATAGTTCACAAATACCAACAGAATATGTTGGGTAAACTCTTGGTTCTGCTGAACAATTCAACTTTTCAATGATAGAACGTCACATTCTGAATGACAGGTCACTACACCAAAACACAGTATTGAAAATTAAAAACACTCTGAAATTATGCTTGCAAAACATGTTTGGTTTTAACACAAATTCAACGTAGCGTTCAGCAGAACAATCGCAAACCAATTACCAACGTTTGTATCTGGTGAACGTGGCCGGGTATGTTCACCAGTACTCAGCAACTAACTTGCAGTGTAAAGCAGTTGAGAACAGTTGAGATACAGCGAATGTAAATTTCCTGAACGCATAGTTGCGACTTATGACAAATGACAATTCAATAAGTTGAGTCAGCGCTCAGCAAAAGCCGTTTTTTGTCAGCTGCTGCGGATTTCTCTAAGCGTTAAAAAGTAGCGCTTACCATCTCAACTTATGCTTTAGACATGCGCAGAAGTGTCATGCGTTCAGGAAATTCACATCCGCTGTATCCCAATTATCCTCAACTGGTCATGATTCTGCGCAAAGCCAAAAATTTGAGCGTAGAACCCGAAATTCGTATACAGAGTGGTTTTTAGACCGTTCATGGGGCAGTTTTTGACGTGTTGGAACAAACCTCATACCACATACCATTCCGGTTTATAAAAATACAAATATCGGCGTTATCAGTATAAAAACTCGCAAACACACTTTTTGAGAATGCCGTACCTACTTCACGAAATCTCCGTATTTTCAGTAAACGCTTCAAATATCTAGCTTTCGCTAGTAAGTAAAAGGAAAAGGTTATTCACTTCAATTTCAGCAATTAGCAAAAGCTAAATCTTCCTAGTAAAAGCTAAAGCTATCACTTAATACTAAAAGTAAAAGCTTAGTTTTTATTCACTCTGCCCTGTGAAGATTTTCCCAGCCAGCCTTTGGCTCCTACCGTTAGGGCTTTATGGCCCTTCGATAGGCGGAGTGACCTGGTTCAGGGCTTCAACGATTACCGAACCTGGAAAGTGAGTTTGTAGTAGTACCTCTAGACTTTCTATATGGTCGGTACAGTCCGTTTGGCTTTTTAAGCAGATCAATTCCGTTTGACTGGTTTTTTGAAAGAACTTTTTGGAGACGTTGAGCTTGGGCTAATTCGTCAATCCCCTCGCAGAATTATCTCCATGATTTCCTTTTTGATTTTCTTAATTCACGGTTGTACTTGTCTAGGGCTGTTCTATAGTCTGCCCATTTGCCGTTAGTTTTTGCCTTGTTGAACAGTTTTCTGGCATCTTGTTTCAGACGTCTCAGTTGCCCGTTCCACCAAGTCACATCCCTGTGGACTGCCTTCTGTTTTACAGGACAACTGTTCTCAAAGGAATCTTTTATTGCATTTGTTAGATTATCAGATGATGCCTCTAGCTCTTCTATTGTATTTATGTCAGAAGGGAGTTCATCTAGACTCAGGCAGAGACCCTCCACAAAGGATACCCAGTTGATGAGTTTTGGGATTCTCGTCTGTACTGAGTGATTTATTACTGCCTCTAAGTCGGTCCTTATTCCTTGATGGTCCGACAGGGAGGGTTCATTTGACACAAGCCAGTTGGTTATTGTGTTAGATGTAAATGTGTTAGCGAGACTCACGTCTAAGACCTCTTGTCTGACGGCGTTAATGAAAGTGGGTTTGTTACCTTTGTTGATAATGTCTATGTTGTTAGAGTTCAAATATTCAAAAAGGTACTCACCCCTTACTTTGCGGTCTTATAGTCGTATGACCGAACTTGTAATTTACCGCGTAGCCTCCGGATTTGAGTTTTTCTGCGGATGCACTGTCCACAGGAAGGGTTAGTGTGACCAGGGCCCGTATTCTCGTCACCGGAGAACAGCGTTCTCTCAAGAGAATGATTGTTCTATCTTAGTCACCCATATTGTTATTTCCATAATACTGACAAAGACAGAGCAATCGTTCTCTTGAGAGAACGCTGTTCCCCGGTTACGAGAATACGGCGTTACGTCGGATGACTCGCCAATTTTTGACGTTCAGGCCCTCATTTTGGCCTTGAGCAAGATTGAGGATTTTCTCCTTGGAGTAATCCATGTTGCTTGGGAATCGAGCAACCAGGACGTCATATTCCTCTACCATCTTCAGCGAAGCTCCCTCCCAAGGCTTGATGGAGGCGACTGCAGTTTGCAGCCACTGCTTGGTGGCTATGTTTTCGCAAACTAGAGCGAGCCAGCCGGGTCTGTTGTGGGCGCTCAGAAATTTCGGTTTGACCTCGTCCACGATCTTATCCATAATTGCCTCTTTGGTGGCTTGAATTTGCTCCACTGACAAAAGGCAATTGGGAAGTCTGTAGGTAATATTGTTTCGTCGACTGTCAATTGTTTCGTCGACTGTCGATTTGTAAAGAGCGACTGTATTTTGTTCCGAGTTTTTGGCCTAATTTGTTGTGAAATAGTGGTCGGAATTTGGTGAATTTTGTAGGAATTGTGGACTCTGGTATGCTTCAACATGTTTTCAAGTTAGTATCTTGCTAAAAGTCTTAGTTCCTGAGAAATCGTGATTTAGGGAGTAAACAATTGAGGACAATAGCCTAGAATAAACACATTCCGAAAATATTTATATTTATTTATATTACTTTTTTTGTTATGCGTCGTCAGAGATAGCGGACCTGACCTAGCCTAACTTGCAGGATTCTGTAGTCCGGTAAAATTGGTGTATGTTGTGAAGCGTCATTGGCTTCAAACATGGGTGGAAATCGTAAGGTTCTCAAATGTGTTGTGTGTACTAACAATGTTACTAAAACTCAGGCATCGGTGCAAGAATTGGTTACATGTTGCGTGTACTGGCCATTACAAGTCTCGAACTAGAAGTTATGCATAAACTGAATAATCATTTTTATTGTGATGATTGTAAAGCCCACACAAAAAAATCAAGTAAGAAAATCAATGGATATGTCCATGTCTAATACACATGAACCCAAGGAAACCAAGGATGATTGTGATAAAGTCCTGTTGGAATGCATAAATGAACTTAGGAGGGAAATACGTGACCTCAGAAATGATCTAACATTTTATGCTGAACAGTATGAAGTTCAAAAAGAGAAAAATAGTATGTTTATCAAGGAAATCTTGGCACTTAAAAAAGTGAATGAGGACATGAGTCGAAAACTAGTTAAACTTGAAGATCAATCCATAGTCAAGGATATTGAAAACAGAGCCAACAATATTGTCATTATGGGCATCAAAAGTAGTCTGGATGAAATGGACTAAGAGAAGTTGAAATGAGAGCTGAAAAAGTTCTAAAGTATGTAGATCCTATACTAAAATCTGAAGATGATAAATTAAAAATTCTATCTCCAACTAAAGACAATACCCCAATATTAGCAATATTTCGGTCAGTTGATGTGAAGTATCAAGTTATGCAAAAGAGAAAGCAAATTGGAAAAATTGTCAGCAACAAATGTAACATGACCGGATCGCACCTCATATATCTAAATGATGATATGCCTAAGGAAACTAAAGAGTTGTTTATGTCAGCTAGAACTCTCAAGGAACGTGTGTATAAATTTATCTGGGCTAAGGAAGAAAAAATATTCATGAGGAAGAAAGAGAATGACCCAGTTTTAAGAATCAATAGCATGGAAGATATTGAGAATATAAAGCAAGGCGATTAAACTTGGCAGTAAAATAGTAGGATATAGGTACGTCTTTCTTCTTTTCGTTATGGACTTTAATTCTCTATTGGACCATCATAATACTGGTTGCAGTAGCATTAGAGTATGCGATACATTGGATAACATAAATTTTCTTAAAGCTTCAGCGCATAATTTCAATTTATTGCATGTTAATATCAGGAGTCTTAATAAGAATTTTGATAACCTTGTAATTTTTCTTGAATCACTGAACAGTCATTTCGATCTAATTGTGTTGTCAGAGACCAACATTCTCTATAATGTATTGAACTTTCGCATTAAAGAATATGATTTATTTTATAATGAAAGCAAAATTAATAAGTGTGATGGCAGTTTGATTTATTGTAAGAGCGCAATAGTAAAAATGAGTAATGTAATTGAAATAAATGACTATAAGTTCTTGAAAGTTCCACTCACTAAGGACAATACTAGTATAGGGGTAATTTCCCATTATAGGTCTCCTTCTCTTAAAGAAGTTGATTATATCCCCTCTCTGATAAGTCTCTTTGGACAAGCTCATTATACTGCTTGTGATATTTTTGTCGGTGACATTTTATTGAATTCTAAGTCAATGATAGTCAATGAATATGTTAGTTGTCTCAATAGCTATGGTTATATTTCTAAAGTTGATAAACCTACTAGGATTGATGGGTGTAGTAAGACATGTATAGACCATATATATTCATGAAGAGCAAAACAAAATATAAAAGTAACCTGATAATACTAACCAGTTCTGTTTCGGATCATTATTCTTTATTGTTTAATGTTAACTTGGAAAATAAAGTAAATTCTCATGCTCAACAAAAGAACAATAGGTCTTTTAGTAAGGTGGACTTCGAACATGTTAAAAATTTACTTCAAACCCAAAATTGGGAAGAAGTTTTTTCATGTCATGATCCCAATACTGCCTCTGAAATTTTTATGAATACCTTTAAGAAACATATACTTGCTGCAACAAATGTGAAAACAATCTCAAATAGAAAATATCGTCTTAAACCATGCAGGCTTACTTGCTTCCATTAGAAACAGAGATAGATTACATAAACTCTGTGTCCGTAATCCATTAGATGAAACGCTCCGTATTAATTATAGAAACTATAGAAATATGTTAACCAAACTTATTAGAAATACAAAAGCTAATTACTATAAACAAAGATTGGAGGTTGCAAATGGTGATCCGAGAAAAACTTGGGAAGTAATAAAACAAGTTACAAATGACTATAACATAAAAACTAATACTCCATGTATTAGGAATAGCAATAATCAAGAAGTCTATGATCAGGGGCAGGTAGCTAATGAATTGAATGTGTTCTTTAGTTCTGTAGGTACTAAGCTGGCCAGTAAAATAACTAAGCCGAAAAATTTTCGAGGTGGTGTGGTTAGACAGCGGCAGTTTCCTTCCATGTTTTTGCAACCTGTTAATGAAGACGAAATTATAAATACTGTGACATCACTGAAGCCATGATTTTCTGCTGATGATTTTGGCGTCTCTGACCAGATTGTAAAATAAAATTTTAGGGTGTACATATTGTGAATTTGAATGTTAATGGTATTTTTCCAGATATTTTCAAAAGGGCAGTGATTGTCCCACTACATAAAGGAAGTGATAAAACTGATCCGGGCAACTATAGACCCATTGCACTCACTGGCCCTATCTGCAAGAATATTGAGAAATGAATTAAAAAACGGTTATGCAATTTTTTGTATGTAAATAAAGTATTGTCAAAGTCACAGTATGGTTTCACGAAGGGGGTTGGTACAGATGATGCCTTGAATGAAGTCCCCACTTTCATTGTAGATTTCGATAATGGTTGGAAGCCTCTCGCTGTTTTTCTGGACCTTACCAAAGCGTTCGATACTGTGGATCATCGCACTCTATTGAACAAAATATAACAGTGTTATAAAATGAAAAGTGCTTGAGCTATTTGAGTCGTATCTAACAAATAGGACTCAAAGAGTTAATCTTGATGCAGTTTCAAGTTCACTTATAGATCTGAAGTGCGGTGTTCCACAGGGTACAGTGCTTGGACCCATACTATTCTTAATTTATATTAATAGTCTTCCACATGTAATCCCTGAAGTAAAAGTAGTATGTTTCGCGGATGACACAGTTCTTTTATGTAAAGGGGTTTGTTGGGACGAAACCTTTTCGAGAACTGAAAGTGCAATGTACAGTGTTCGGGCATGGATGGACATGAATTCCCTCACAGTGAATGTTAAAAAAAAACTAACTTCATGTGTTTTTCAATGAGCGTGAGGGGGTTACCAAACAAGCATGTACTTAGGGTGCACACCACTGATTGTAATATGAACAATGACTGTACATGTTCTGATAACATCAAATCAGCAAATAAAATTAAATATTTGGGTGTTTACTTTGATAATCACTTGAAATGGCAGCATCATACTGATTACGCTAAAAACAAACTAAAAAAACTCATATACAAATTTTATGAATTACGTAATATACTAGATAAAAAAAACAATCCTAAGAGTGTACAAAGCATTAGTAGAATCCTGCTTGAGCTATGGCATAATATGCTGAGGTTCTGCTTACAATGGCGTCTTGAAGAACATTACCATTATACAAAAATATGTATTGGAAGTTATTTTGTTTAAACATAAGCAATTCCCATCATGGAGTCTGGCGTTTTCACTGTGGCTCAACTATATATTAAAAATGTCCTTAGATTTTCAATTTCCAGCAAAACCTTTCAGAATTTTATCAGTCATGGCATCCAAACAAGAGCAAATGCAAATCATAATATTATATTGCCCATTACGCATTATAATGCGACACAAAGATGTATTACTTATATTGCACCCAAATTATTGAATATGTTACCAGAACAATATAAAAACAGAAAATATAGTAGGATTAAGAAACAGTTACATGTATGGATTAGGGATAACACAAATACCATTGAACGCGTCATTAAATTACAGTAGAAAGATATTTGTTTTTTTCAATTCTTTGTCTTTTTTTTCTTCTCAGCCTTTATTGGTAATATGTGTAAATGTTTTTTCTTTTTTTAATGTTATAGGTTAATGTAATTGTAAAATTTATTCATGAGCCCAATATGCATTCACACAGACGCGCATGTCCATTATATGCATATTGTGTTATCATCTTCTTCTTGCTGTGTATTATATTGTTGTTGAATGACAGAAATAAATAAATAAAGTTTTCCTACCTTTATGCCTCCAGCTATCTGGCTGAAGGTTGATTTTGGAGCTCTGGAAGGCGGAGCACTGCTGCTCGTTTCATTTTTTTTATGGGCGGGGCATTTTTACCCGTATCCCTTGTCCTAGCTCTTTTTTCCGCTTGAGCCTCGGGGGTGTTTCCTTCTGACCGGACTCTTTTTTCGCCCTTGTCAGAGATTTTAGCCCTTTCTTTGATTGGCTCAAGGGCTTTTTTGTGGGCTTCGTCCACACTCATCCCTTTTTTTTTGAGGAATTTCATCCTCTTTCTGGCAGCGCCACTCAGCCTGATCCTCACGTCGCCCTTCAGTTGTAGGGCACTCAGATCTTTGCCAAGTTCTTCGTCTGAACGTAGAAGTTCTTCTTCTACGTCGGTGGGGCTTTTACAATCCCCTATTTCCATGTTTTCGGATCTCCTTGAGGTGAAGCAGAAGCCGAAGCAGAGCCCCGCTGGCCCCAGTCGGGCTAGTTAAGCCGTGGGGTCGCCACATCCCTGGAGTTCGCATAGTATCGATTAGGCTTTCCCCAAACCACGCAGTCCCAAAATTTTGTGCCATTAACTTGTTTGGTTTCCAAAATACGCCCCTTTGAAATATTTGAGAATGAAATTTCCTTGCATATCCCTTGAAGAAATTCGAGTTTTGATTTTGTCAGATTTTTCAATTTTTGACTTAACCAATCGAAAGAGGGGGTCAAATTTAATGAATAAGCATTTTCGTGATTTTTTTTTTCGGGGTTTAGAGCCTGTAAAAAATTAAAAATGATTTTTGTCCAGAGAATTTTTGATCATTTGACATTGTCTCATAAAATCGCTCATACCTCAATTGATATTTCATAAATTCTAATGCATATCTATATATTCTTAATCACAATTGAATGCTTTTTAAGATAAAATATCATTGAATCATTTATCTCCAATGGAAATTTCGAGATGTTGAGTCTCAAAGTTGAAACCTTCAAAAAAAAAATGAGTTAACAGAGATGTGTTAAGAGTATTGAAAAAAGTATGAGAATCTTTCAAAGCTTATTAATGAACTCAAAACTATGATCAGCTGTTTAGCTATAAGGCTGTTCATTTGTACTTGCTATCTGCTCGAAAAATCAGAAAGATCTGCTATTTATGAGCTTATTATATGGGAATTATGGGACAAGTGAACGCTGATCAGCAAAAAAAGCAGTACAAAGTAGCCTTGATTTTTTTCTATAGTTCCAGAACCTTGTTCTTCATCCTCTATTGAACCTCCTACTACTGATTCTGTTCAAGGCCCAGCCCAAACTAGCTCCTATATGAACGAAACTGAATCTAGAAGTGCCACAAACAGTCAAAATCCTGAAGAAGCAGATTCCTTATATCAAACAGTAGATGGCAAAGTTTTCAAGACACGTAATTGATTGTTTTTATTAGTAATTTTTTTTTTTTTTAAATAGTTTTTCTTTGTAGAATTTGTATGTAGCGAGCCAAGCCATCTAAACTATACTTCAGTTGGTAATTTATTTGTAAATGAAATTACCAAAGTTCCAAATAATCAATATACTGTGGGTTACCTACGAATAGGACAAGGAGAATCGAAAAAGGTGGCCAAAAGTACAAAGTTTTCATTTGTGAGTTATTTTGTGTGTGAAGTTTTTCATATTCATTCATGTTTTTTATTGTTTTAGGTTTACGTAGTCGTTACTGGAGCTGCTGAAGTTACAGTGGAAAGTAAAATTTGCATAGTTAATCAAGGAGGGTATTTTTGGGTGCCAGTTGGTAAGTAATAAATACATTTTTTTTTAATTATTACCCATTCAATATTTGTTTTAGGTACTACATACTCAATTAAAAATACTAGTTTGGATTTGTACCTGGAAATTAATTTTACCAGGATAAGGGCAGGGGCCGATAATCAATAATTTATTTTCTTTGTTGTATATGTTTGTTTTAAACAATTATTTCGTTGATATTAGGTGTGTTGCCACAGAAATCACAAGCCAGTCATTGGTTGAAACTAGTTTTCTGACTGTTTTCAACCAATGAAATTTGCTCCGACTGGTTTGTGATTTCTGTGCGAACAGACCTAGTGTTAATTTCATTAGAAGGGCATTTTATTATTATAATTATTATTATTATGGCGAATAAAGTATTGAAGCCTTTCTGAGCTTATAACTACATATTTGCAGACAAGAACTTCATTTGAAAAAATAATAAAATATTCTTAGTATAGTTTTCAATTGTATAAATTACCAAATAATTTTTGTTAAGAAATTGACCCTATTCGAAATATGTAAGATGTTTGTATTAAATTAAATTTATTTTTTATGGAAATAACAAGTTGGAGAGTTAAACTATTGAATATTGCTTTTTATGAGAAACTTTTTTGTTAATTATGAAAAAATATTCTCATTAAAAAACCAGACAGAAGATCTTGCAAGGAACCCCCTTTTTAGACAATAAACCAGTGAAGCATTTTTTGGGAAAATCCCCATTTATTTGAAAACATCCAGGTTCCCAGTAATTTTCTCCCAAAGCTGTATTCTTGAATTTCTGGGAGGAGAACTTGCGCTGCCTTGCGCAGGAAGTGGATGTGGTTCACCTCAAAAAGGTATGTCATATTCTTGAAAATGGGACAGTAAAGTGAAAGTTCCCGGGAATTTTGAAGTTCCCATCCTTTTACCCAAGAGAAAACGATTTCCCGCCAGGGACTATTCATTTTGGAAACCGAGGAATAGCTTTCTCATGAGAACTATTGCTCTGTCATTGTCCGTGTTATGGAAATATGAATACGGACGACGAAGACACAACCTTCGTTCTCATGAGGACTCTGCTCCCCTGTTCCGAGAATGGAGAATAAGGAATAACGTCCCAGGGAAGGATTCTCTTTAGGACCATAGCTTTGTTCCTTCCAGAACAGCAGAAAACTGTGCAATGTCAATGTACCGTCACGATTTTGCGCAGAACTTAAATTTTGTGCGTAGAATCCGAAATTCGTATACTAGAGCTGGGTTCGGCTATTCAGCGCGGAGTTGGAGTGGAGTGAACAGAGCTAATGGAGTCACCCCTAATACGGTAAAAAGCAATACCCGAACGACTAGAGTGCGAATGGAGTCACTTGGAGTGCACGGAGTGAGTAAGGGAGGATTTTCATGCATCCGTTTTTCTATATTCCTTGCGTTCGGTATTTTGCTCAAAGAGCAGAGCGTGCCGAGCGGAGCCATAATCACGTGACCAGTGAGCGAACAGAGCAGTTGAACGCTGTATAAAAGTGCCAGAAATTTTAATAAACGAACGCGAATGAGGCTGCACCGAGTACACTTTTTAAATAAACGAACGGTAAAGTCAAGCTCGGAGAACTCGGACCAAAATAACGAACGCACGGTTTGACATAATAGAGAGATATCGGTAACCCAAATAGGTTTATGCAGTATTAGCGCCTACGTTATTTTGACATTAAACCTTGCGCGATTCGATTTTTAACACTACGTACTAAAATAACGTTACCGCATAACGTAATTTACTCAGCATTTACGTTAAGCGGTATTTCGAATAACGTCTAAAAATAACGCCGTGGAATATAGGTTATGTTATGTTTATTGTTTATTTTATTATTTTTGATGTGTTCGAGTGAATATGGATTGTTCAAAAAATAGTACAAAAGCAAATCCTCTGTCCCTGACTATGAACAACAGACAACACAAATCAAATCACAACAAGGTACAAGTTAGGCTACGGTTATAAAATAACGAATGCGAACAGGCCAATTTTGCGTTGAACTGTTTTCCGATAACTCTAATTTGAAAGTATAATACCGCTTTACTTTAAAAAAATAGCTCCTGACGTTATTACCGTCCATACGCGCTATCTGTTTTACCGATATCTCTCTATTTATATACGATTATGTCAGAATAGAATGTTAAACGGACATATTTCCCTTGCGTTCGGTATTTTGCTCAAAGAGCAGAGCGGGCTGAGCGGAGCCGTAATCACGTGACCATTGAGCGAACAGAGCAGTTGAAAGCTGTATTAAAGTGCCAGAAATTTTAATAAACGAACGCTAATGAGGCTGCACCGAGTACACTTTTTAAATAAACGAACGGTAAAGTCAAGCTCGGAGAACTCGGACCAAAATAACGAACGCACGGTTCGTCGGAAAAACGGATGCATGAAAATCCTCCCTTAGCCGAACCCACCTTAGGTAAGTTCGGCTTGCACACCGAATGACTCCATTCGCACTCCAGCCGTTCGGGTATTGCTTTTTGGCGTATCAGGAGTAACTCCATTAGCGTTCGACTATTCGGAGTGGAATAAATGGAGTTCACTCCAAAAGTTCCTCCTCGGAAAGAGAACTTTTTAAAGTAAGCATGCGCAGAAGTGAAATGCATAAGCTGTCAAGCTTATTGTTTGTTGTTAGAAAAATTAAAAATCATTTATGTGTGGATGCGGAATTGATAAAATCATCCAGTAAAATAATTGATGGGATTTCAAAATTTATTAGACATTATGGACAAATTTCCTTGACAAAGTTAGACAGAGGCAAAAGCATCATATTATTCATTATTGTGAAGGAAGGTAGGTTCGGCTTGCTCACTCCGTGTACTCAGAGTGACTCCATTCGCACTCCAGCCGTTCGGGTATTGCTTTTTACCGTATAAAGGTGACTCCATTAGCTCTGTTCTTACTCGACTCCAACTCCGCCGAATAGCTAAACCCAGAATTGAAGTTAATTTATAGAACACGGACGAAAGACCAAAAATAAAAGTGAAAAGAAAATTGGAAACCTGGAACCAGGTGTTTGACATTTTTGCTCCGACCGTTCCGAGCGGAGTAGCGTTTTTATCACGTGACCAAAAAGCTTTTGGAGTGGATTAGTGAAACCGAACGGCGAGAGGGTGCATTGGGAGTTTCTTAACTTAAACTAACTAATTGTCATTTGAGGAAATGACAATTATTATTTTAAAAATGAACGTTTTTCTAGTCTTTTCTGTGAATTTTTGGTATTTGGTGCCTATATTTGATTTTGTTGAGGACGTTTATTTCGAAGACTTGTCTGAAGAAGTCATCAAGATTATTATTGCAAATTTCAGTGAAATTACGCGTTGCTCAGATGTCAAGTAAGCATAGTTCAAAATCCATTCCATTCCATCCATTTACCAGGTAATTACAGATTAAATATTGATTTGTTGACTGTCGATTGGTCGAATAGTCGATTGTCGCAATCAAAAAAAATAGGATAAATGACACAAAATCACGAAAACAAACACACTGCGCACACCAGAGGCGTTTTCTCGCGTCTCAAATGTTTCAAAACATTTTTCAAAACTGGTTCAAGTAATGTCACCATGACGTCATAATTTCTCGGCGCGAGAAAATGGTTTGAAAACGTGGATTGGATTGTATTTCGAAACGGTTTGAACCAATTTTGACGTGACGTCATGGGTTTATCGCGAGAATGTACTGTTTCAAAACAGTTTTGAACCAGTTTCGAAAAAGTGGACGCGAGAAAACGCCTCAGCTCTGGCGCTTGCTGATGACGAGGTGGTGCTTTCAGAGTCAGCTCTTTTGACTCCCGTACGTCCTTCCCGAACGCATGTAGAGTTACTCTTTTAGCTCAAAATGACAATACCCGAACGCATAGTGAGTAGGGAGTGTTTATTGCACTTGGAGTTTATAGAACAGTCATCCCGAACCAACCTCCGGTCGTTCGTGTATTAATTTTTCACTCTAATCACTCCTAGATCACGTGAAAAACTTCTTACTCCACTCTAACTCCGTAGGTACTGAATACCCGAACCCAGCTTGAGTGGTTTCAAAACCATTCATGGGGCGGTTTTTTGACGTGTTGGAACAGACCTAATGAAAACAGAACTCGATCCCAGTTTTAGCTACACAAAGTAAATATGCACCAATGAAAATTAAAAAAACCTTAAAATCATCAAAAACTTGTATAAAATATCTAGAAAAACATCTCGCAAAGAAGACCCTCTTCAACCAGCGAAGCATTTCATGCGGAAATCTGCATTTATTTGGAAAATTCTAGTTTTCCTCGACAATGAACACAGAACTTGATCCAAGTTTTATTTTACACTGTACCAGTGCAAGTTCTTGAACGAAACTTGAGTTCAAAATCCTGGCATATTTATTAAGCCGGGCTCAAACGACTCGTGTACTTGGCGAATAATCGTAACTTGCGTATACTTGCCATATCGTGTGAGTGGGTTACTTGTACTTGTACAATTATTTGTCACTCGTTGGTTTTCCATTTCTTGTCGGTAAAAATGTCCCGAGTCAAAGGGATCACGATTATTCGTACACTTGCCAAGTTCATACTTGTAGAGGCGCTCAAACGAAATGCACAAATAATTGGCTTTTACTGCGACTATTTCATTTAGTTTTCGACGAGCATCAAGGTTTAGCCAAATGTTCGCGCTCGCGTACTTGTAAATTGAACACGTCGTGTGAGCGCCCTGCTTGCCATCGCAATTCGCAAAGCTAGTATACTTGCCAAGTACGCGAATAATTGTATATTCGCCAAGTACACGAGTCGTCTGAGCCCGGCTTTATGGTCAATTTCTCATATCCTCTTCTCGACAATGAACACAAGACAGAACTTAATCCATGTTTCTTTCTACACCGAGTGTGCACTCTAGTCCTATGTTCGAACTTGAACGAAAACGCTATTGATTGTATTTTTTTAAACCGAAAACCCCTGTTGTTTTGTCATATAAGTTGTATTCCTTTCACACCTAGGAGGAGCTCCGGAACAGCTCAGGGAACAGGCCGGGGATTCTAAAATCACGATTCGACATACGACTCGACAACGAGACGATTTTTCCGACGATTCTAGGTTAGAAATCTCATTGGAATTGTACCTTTCGAGACGACAAGGCCGGTATCGTTATCGAGTCGTGTGTCGAATCGTGATTTTAGAATCTCGGCCCAGGGCCGAGATTCTAGATGTAGAATCCCCGGCCAGACAAACACTTTTCGAAAGGAATAAGCGCGTGAAGCCCCGGAGCTGTTCCGGAGCTCCTCCTAGAGTTGAGTTCCGAATGGGATTTTAGTGCAGTGCTAGTGCGGTGTTCGTGTAATCTAGTGTTGTATCACGTGATGAAGGTGTAATCGGCGGTGTAACACCAAATACACCATCACTTTGTAACGAGTGAATGGTGTCCCATCATATTTACACCATTTGGACACCAAATCATTTCCAAACGCAAATAAAGTGTACACCAAACTCACTCCTACCAATTAACGAACGCCACAGCGTCAATAGTGTAAAAAGTGTCGACACTTTCTACCATTCCGAACTCAGCTTAGGTGTGAAAGTAATACAACTAATATGTCAAATGTCACCAAAAAACAATATGGCTGTTTATAGTCAAAAAAGCTCATGAAATATTTATTTAAAATAGGAAAAACCAAGAAAATAATTATATTTCTGTGTCAAATTTTTGTGTAGTGTTTTTGTCGATGTTCAGTGCATTTAGATAAGACGTAAGTACTTTTCGTAACAATTCAATTCGATTATTTACATGGGAATATGACAATGTTTTAAATAGAAAGTTTTTTCGATAAATATCCTTCGTTTTTTGTCTTTGAATTCTCTGTCCTCATGCAAATTCAGTTACGTTTCATAATAATTGAAATCTTAGGAGGGTGTCGCGGAGCTGATTGTAAAGACGATGGGAAGCCGAAACGTTGGGTCTTTGCATTGAATAATAGATTATTTCTGCTACCGTGCGTAAAGTACCTACTTTACGCACCATTTAAAAGACGGGAAATTATATTTAACACATAAAGTAATCTACTTTACACATACTAGTGCATAAAGCGAACAAAAAAGTTGATAATTGTATTAGTTTTCTTTTATAAGTAGGCACCAACAAGTATAAAATTTGCCTTTGTTGCTTTTTTTTTCCATTGAAAATGTGATTTTACTTTACTCCCTAGGTTGTGAAGAAGTTACTTTACACACTACTTAGGGCATAAAGTTGTGATATTTACATATGTTTTTTCAAAATTATGGCTTTACTCAAGGGGTTTTTCACCTAACAAAATTTGTACCGTGCGTTCAATTTATCTTGATAACATTTTAATCCGCTGTAACTTTCTTGTTTTTGAAGATATCAAGGTAAACAAAAAAACAATGTTTTTTTTTTCATAACAATAGTTATTTGTTTTACTAGGCAGAAAAGTACAAGATTTAATGCCGCGGCTGGTGTTTCATAGCCGAGGCTAGGAAACCAGCCGAGGCATTAAATCTACTTTTCTGCCATGTAAAACATATAATTTTTTCTCTGAATGTCCAAATTCACATATGGACATCTTTTTTATATTTATTTCATTCATTATTATTATCCAAATAAGGTAAAGTACCCAGTTGTTGACAGGGTCCCGAAAGTTGACACATTAGCATATTATTTCCGAAAATAAGAATTTATATAGGTTATAAGCTAACTGAGATAGCTTATAGTATTGTTGGAGCCATTTTTCAGGCTATAGCTGATGTATGGATTTGAAATGACAAGTTTTTTCAAAAGTGTGGCAAGAAATAGTGAACAGGTGCAAATGTTTGAATTTTTTCCCAGATTTCTAGTGAAAATAGTTAAGAAGATATAAAAACAAAAGTTCTCAAAGCTAAGGTAGGGTTGATAAATTATGAATAATATATATTTACTGTATAATAAGATACATTGTAATACATATTTATTATTGTTTTATCTCTTAAACAACTGGCATAAACTTTTTAAGGGGGGGTGTCAACTATTGAAGCCCAAATCGAGGGGTGATCCAAATGTTGACACTAGTGTCAACTTATGGATTTTTGGCAGTAAAAATATTTTAACATTGTAGTCTGTCTTTTTTTATTGCTCTGGATTAAAAAGAAACCTAGATATGGGTTTGGGGAATGTAACGGTCGTAGATCCAATAGATGACACCCCTGTTACCCCTGTCAATGTTTGGAGCTTTGGAGTGTCAACAATTGGTGCTTTCAGGTTTAAATCAAGAGATGATGTATGAAAAATGGAAATTGCTGAAATATGCACCAGAACTGCCAGAAGACATGATTGCGATAGGGGGCTTACCAATGACATCAAAACACAGATAGACCGAACAATAAACAACATTTTCGTATGACAACATCTCTCTGTCTCTTTTGGGTCTTTGTGCTATCCCCACCACTGAGAATGCCAAATTTTGTCTTGAATCCCTAAATAATATATTTTCCTCCTTTTCTAATTAACATTTTTAATTTTATTTCTGAACTCAATTTGACAACAGCAGATTGTAACAAAACACCGCCCAGAAGCGGCTTGTTGAATGGCAGGCAGGTGTTGGTTTGAGTAGCTAGCTCTCTTTATTGCACACAGGAATTATTCATTAGCGTTAAACAAGAAACGGCCAATACGAAATTGGTACTCCCAGAATAAAGGGCTCGTATCGAATATTTTCAGTTTATTTTTCAATTTGTCATTTTATTTATTCATCCAATTAAATTTTGCGATATATTCACGTGTGGGCGAGGTTTTTTACACCATTTTGAGCAATGATGTCTCCCCACCCCGATCCCGCGAGCAACTCACCTCCCCTGGCCCATGGGTGGTCTTGTCAACACAACAAATATCAGTTTATGAATGGGATGATCCGTCTATCTGTGTTTTGATGTCATTGGGGCTTACTGCAGCTACATCAGCAAAAAAACACAATGTACCAATGCTTTCCAAGCAATTTCTTTTATTACCAATTTGGAATTGAAATTTGTATTTTTTTCCCAACAAAAAGTTTCCCAATGTTATTTTTTATTAATAAAAAGTTTGATTCTTACATTGTTGATGTTTCTACTGATACAGGCAACATGTCAACTATTGGTTTCAACAGTGTCAAGTAATGGAACCACAACATGTACTTATAAAAAATTAAAATAATTGGTTATTATGTGCATATATTTCATTTAAAAAATTGTACACTTAGAAAAATATACTTCTTAGTTCCACAGACCGTGATAAAATTTCTTAAAAGTAAAAATTTGGTTTTGTAAAAAAATATATGTCAACCTTTGGATCAAAAATGTGTCAACTTTTGGCGAAGTGAACTTTTTTGGGTGTCAACTATTGGGGTTTTATCACCTGTCAGGTATTTTTGGCCTAATAACGCAAATAATAGGAATATAGGGTAAATAATATATCTACACATTTAATTATGAGTTTGAAATCACGCCAAAAAATATATCAAAGCCTTGGGATTAAAAATTTGGAAAATGTGTGGTAAGCAAGGATACCCTTAACATGTCAACAACTGGGTACTTTACCTTAATTAAATTATTTTGACAATTGTCATTGTCACCATCAATTTCAAATACCAAATTGAGTGGAATTATTACCTGGAACGTTGTGACGCTGTCACTTTTAATGCCTAGGCACTAAAAGTCCACTTTTACTGCCTAGGCAGTAAAAATAAAACTTTTGATCCTGTCAAGTGTCATTAAAAGGCCGCTTTTACTGTCATTCGGAGAAAATAGTTATTTGTTTTACTAGGCAGAAAAAATACAAGATTTAATGCCGCAGCTGGTGTTTCATAGCCGAGGCTAGGAAACCAGCCGAGGCATTAAATCTGCTTTTCTGCCATGTAAAACATAATTTTTTCTCCGAATGTTCAAATTCACACATGGACCTCTTTTTTATATTAACTTCACTAATTATTATTATCCAAATAATTAAATTATTTTGACAATTGTCATTGTCACCATCAATTTCAAATACCAAATTGAGTGGAATTATTACCTGGAACGTTGTGACACTGTCACTTTTAATGCCTAGGCAGCAAAAGTCCACTTTTACTGCCTAGGCAGTAAAAATACAACGTTTGATCCTGTCAAGTGTCATTAAAAGGCCGCTTTTACTGTCATTCGGAGAAAAAATAAATTTTTCCCTTAATAGTCTCTTACATAATCGCCCGCACCTAGGTGACTTAACACCTGTATGTGCAAAAGAAAAAGAAAAATTTTAAGACAAAAAAAAATAAATAAAATACACACATGCAAAAAGAAAGAAAAATAAAAAAAAAGTGGATATAAATATTTGGTTCCTACACCTATCAGATTAAAATTTATTCAAATTTTCATAAATGTAAGTACGACATGCTTTATTTAATTTTTTTTTAAATTAGATATTAGAGAGTTATTGGAATTATCAAATACTGCCTCGCAGTATTAAGGATCTACGTTATTTTATTAGTGCATCAGCACTATTTTTCCAAGAAAAAAGCAGTTATTGGAAGACTGTAGTAGGTGCTAGAGTATTACCTTATTTTGTATTCATAATTTTGACAGCTGATAGCTATGTTTATAAATTTCAGCCTCAAAAAGTGTTTATTTTTGTTTGTGATTTTCTGCTGATACACATTTTTTGATGTTACCCACAGTAAAATGGAAAACTATTGTAAAAAATAAATTTTCTAAGTAAAATTACGTCATCGTCGAAAAGCGAAACATCAAAGTCGTCCAAAATGTCAGAAATTTGAATTAAGGGAATTTTACTGCCTCTAACTAACCCAAACTAACCATACACAAATAAAGACAAGCAGTAACCTTATTTTCGGACCCAAATGCGCATGCGTAGAATAAGGCTAATTTAAATACTGCTTATCCTTATTGCATGTCCAATAACTCTCTATTGATCTGGTTACTTGTGGCAAAGTATTGTACAATTTGGGAGCAAAAAAGTCATATGATCGTTGGTTTTTAGATATATTTGATAATGGTACTTTCAGATGCCCGACAGAAATTGACCTAGTATTGTGAGAATGATCTACAAATTTCTTATACTTTGATTTATGCATAAAATAACATGTACTTACAAAAAACAAACTTCTCATATTTAGGATATCTTCATTATACAGGGTGTCCTTAGATAAACTGACACATTTTAGAGGTTAATATCTCGAAAACGAGAAAAGATAACGGGATGCGATTTTTTCTGGAAGAATAAAGATTTTTTAAAGTTTTTTTTCATGATATTGATGAATCCTGAAATTTGGTTTTACAGACATTCGCTTTTTGAAATAATAACATACTGCCTTATTCTTGATGAAACACCCAGTATATTTTGTCATCATCAGAAAGCGTGACTTTTCTACTCCACAAAAATGTTTAATTTTTTTCAATTATCATGAAATTGAATGGTTAAAATTGCACTTGGTTGAAGGACGTACCGTCGACTGGACAAAAAAAAATTATAAGAATTAATTTGTGTTTTAAATGCACTTATTTGTGTTCAATTCTTGTATTATTAGTTAACTATGCCCTAATTAGTTATTAAAAGTATTAAACACAAATTGAATCTCAATTTTTTTTTTAGTTAGTCGATGGTATTCCTTTCGACAACGTGCAATTTTCACGATGCAAGTTTAAGATAATTGAAAAAAATTATACATTTTTGTAAAGTAGAAAAATCAGGCTTTCTGACAATGACAAAAGATACGGGGTGTTTCATTAA